AATAACAAAATGCATGAAGATGACAGGTTTATGGGGAGAATACATTTAATTATAACATCGAGAATGAATGAGTTTCTCTAGCTGCAAACAACAGCAACCGCAACAAATCGCAGCACCGTGTTCATTGTCAGTCTAGGGTTGTGCTTGTTGTTGTTCGGCGTTACTTTCGTGCTCTTCGATGGAACTGTCGGATGCCCAAAGTGTTATGTTGTCACGAAGCAGTTGCATTATCAGTGTACTATCCTTGTAGGTTTCTTCCGTCAGCGAATCCAACTCGGCTATCGCGTCGTCGAATGCCTCGAAACGTGATCAAATATTTCAACATATGCTACTGACATTGATATTGGCTCTGAGATTTAAAACTTAACTCGCATTTAGAGTTATGCAATACGTTGGATCGGAATCGAAATATAAACGCTATAGAAAGGTATCTTTTTGAAAAGAAATCGACAATTCAATAGCGTTATTTGTACCTGCTTTGCGAGTTGACAGGCTTTCTCGGGTGTGTTGAGTATTTCGTAAAAGAAAACTGAGAAATTGAGTGCTAAACCCAATCGAGTCGGATTTGTGGGATGCATTTTTTCTTTGGCCATATCGGTCGCTTCTTGATATGCGCTTTGCGATTTGTCAATCACGGCTGAATATTGGTGTGTTTTTAAATAAGTGTATCGCAATGAATTGGAGAGGTGTTTTATGCGAAGAGACGACGTTTTGAGATCATTTGTGATGGATACAAGATCAACACTTCGAACCAATCGAAAAACTTGAACCGATAGAAGTTACTCGATTAGGCCACAATGAACTAGTTCAAAGTCATGACAGTGTGGAAGGTACTGAAACATTGTGCAATGGTGTTTCTACAACGAAACGTTTACCAGTCCCCTTCAATACCTTCTTCTATTTTACTCCATTTTATTCAATTCATTTGTTCCATACATTGCCCCCAAACCAGCCTTCCACTTCTATCAGTGATCTTCCGATTACTAATGGTACTTTCACAACACCAACACCGCGCATGCACAGCTCGCAGCATCCGAATATGACTTCTTATTCCGTTGAGTCACTACAGTCGGTTAATTGATGACGATAGTCATTTGAGCATGAATATTTTTTTACCATTTCTTGAATCACCAGTTGCGATTTCGGCCATATATCTAAAGTAGTCGCCTTTCATCTTCAAATAAAATACTTTCGATTCCGGCGATGCAGCTTTTGGAATGAGGAACTTATCGAGGATACCCTAAAAAAGAGTTTATCATTTTTAACGAACACAAAATGCACTGAGTACGTTAAGTTTGAGATATTCAAATGTTTTATGAACGTTCCTAAAT